ATTAAACTGTCTCTTCTTAAATTTATATTTTATTCTTTTTTTTTAAAGATTTTTTTATTTATTTATTTTACAGAGAGAGGGAGATCACAAGTAGACAGAGAGGCAGGCAGAGAGAGGGGGGGGGAAGCAGGCTCCCTGCTGAGCAGAGAGCCTGATGTGGGGCTCAATCCCAGGACCCTGAGACCATGACCTGAGCCGAAGGCAGAGGCTTAACCCACTGAGCCACCCAGGCGCCCCTATTTTACTCTTTTTAAAATGATTTACATGCTTTGGATCTCCTTGGGGAAAAAAAAATGCAGGTTCCCTACTGAAATTGCCCTGGTTCCTAGCACAGCGTTTGAATAGATTAGCAGGGATTCACTACTTTTTTGTACACTTTTTTTTTTTCATTACAAAAGTCATATATGCACATAAAAAACATTTAAACAGTGTAAAGTTATCAAATGAATACATCCGCCACTTCTCTCCCAAGTCACTCTTTTCTCAATTTCCTAGCTGTAACCACTATTGCAAGTCTCTTACATACCTCCTAGAAATTGTGTAAGAATATGCAAGGATCCGGGCATACCTTTTTTTTTTTTTTTACACAAATGGGATCACGTTTTACATCTTGCCCTTTTCTTACCATAGATATTGGAGGTTTTCTCGTACCATATATGGATTTACCCAATCTTATTAATCAATTTGCACATTCTCATGCTGTCATAAGTAAGATAAAGTAGGCTATTATTAGATCACATAAGATAGATGTTTTTAAAAAAAATCTTTTAAAGTAATCTCTACACTTGGAGTACCTGGATGGCTAGTTGGTTAAGTGTCTGCCTTTAGCTCAGGACTCTGATCCCAGAGTCCTAGGATCAAGCCCCATGTCGGGCTCCCTGCTCAGCGGGGTGTCTGCTTCTCCTTCTCCCTCTGCTGCTCCCCCTGCTCGTGCTTAGTCTCTCTCTCTCTCTCTCTCTCTCTCTCTGTCAAATAAATAAATAAAGTCTTTAAAAAAAAGAAAAACTAATCTCTATGCCCAACAGGGGCTCGCACTCACAATTCCAAGATCAAGAGTCGCATGCTCTACCAACTCAGCCAGCCATGGTAGGTTTATTTATTCACTAATAGGTGAATTTGGGGTCAAAGGTTACATCCATGAATTTTATATTTGGGTCACATTGCCATTTGAAGAGACTGTGTGCGCCTGTGCGATGGTGTCTGCTTCCTGGCACCCTAACTTTGTCTGAGTATTTACATAGTTTTAATTCTTGCCTATTAAACATTTGAAAATAGTATCTCATTATTCTTCCAGTTTCTATTTCTCTAGTTATGAGTGAGATCTAGCATTTTTCTTTCTTTCTTTTTCACTTTCTCTTTCCAAGAATCTCCTTCTCTTTCCCTTTCCCTAGTTTTGTATTGACTTTTTAAAAAACACTTATCTGTTTACGAGGTTCACTTGTCTTATCAGTTTGCTGATAGCCTTTTTTAAGTTGTTTTTATCAGCAGTTTTTTTTTTTTTTTTTAAATAGTGGTCAGATTCATGAGATTTTTCTTTTTTTGGCTTCTGGGCTTTACCTCCTGCCTAGAAAGGCCCTTCTCAACCCCAGGCATATATTTTAAAAGTTCATCATTTCTTTTTAGTATGCATGGTTTCATGTTTTAAAAAAAAAATAACTTATGCATTAGAACCACTTCAAATTAATTTACTTCAAGAAGAAAGGCATTCAGGTGTATTTTTTTTTTTTCCCCGAAATGACCAGTCAAGCACCCAACACCATTCACGGTTGTTCAACATCATTGATAAGAAACATGCTTTTAAATCATATGCTAAATTCCAATGTATTTGGCCTTATTTCTATCAGACTCCGTATTCTATTCCACTGATCTGTCAGCACCAAACTCCTTTTCTCTCGAAGTTGTTTCTTTTTTTTAAGATTTTATTTATTTATTTGACAAAGAGAGACAGCACAAGCAGGAGAAATAGCAGAGAAAGAAAGAGAAGCAGACTCCCCACTGAGCAGGGAGCCAGATACAGGACTTGATCCCAGGACCCTGAGATCATGAGCTGAGCCAAAGGCAGATGCTTCACCAGCTGAGCCACCCAGGTGCCCCTAAGATTTTATTTTTACATAATCTCCACATGTCAGGCAGGGCTCCAACCTACAACCCCCAAGATCAAGAGTCACATGTTCCACTGATTGAGTCAACTAGGCACCCTTAGTCCCTTTTAAAAATAAAAAATATTTTGGGGCACCTGGGTGGCTCAGTGGGTTAAGCCTCTGCTTTCAGCTCAGGTCATGATCCCACGGTCTTGGGATCGAGCCCCACGTCGGGCTCTCTGCTCGGCGGGGAGCCTGCTTCCCCCTCTCTCTCTCCGCCTGCCTCTCTGCCTACTTGTGAGCTCTGTCTGTCAAATAAATAAATAAAAAATCTAAAAATAAAAAATATTTTTGGCTATTCTAGCAGGTTCCTTGTGTTCCATGTCCCACCTGAATAAACTTTGTGATCCTTGATGAAAACTTTAAAAATTCTGTTAATCTTTTTTACTGGAAACATACTGAATTTATAGATTAATTGTGGCAAACTGATATGCTTCCAAATTGAGTCCCTAATTTCCTGTACATCTTCTAGTGAGTTCCTCAGTAAGTACTGAAGTTTTCTTCCTACAAACCTTACACATTTCATATCCCTTTATTCCCGAGTATTACTATTATTTTTCACTAATGTCAATGACAGATTTTATTATGTTTTCTCACTGGTTACTGTTTTTTTAAATGAAAAAGATATTGATTTTAATTTGAATTTTATAAGCAGACACTGTTAATTGAATGTTCTTAAATTTACTTTTTAAGTGGTTTTTTTTTTCAATTAAATCTTAGATTTCACAGACATAAAGTCATGTCAATTGCAAATAATAAGTTTGCCTTTTCCTTTTCTATTTTTACCTTTATTTCCTCTGGCTAATTACACTTGCTCATCTCTCATGGAAAATGCTCCCTAGTAGTACTGGTAATGAGTATCATCGGCTCATTTATGATTTTAGCAGCAATTCCCCTATGCTCTACCCGGCCTTTGGTTAAGAAAGTATCTATCTAGCTTTGTATGACTAAGAGTGTGTAAGTGCATGTGTGCATGTATATGTGTGCGTATTTAATTGAAGGATGGATGTTGAACTTTATCTAACACCTTTTAAGCAAATTTGAGTGAGTTATTCAGTTTGTCAACTTTGATCTATTAATACCTAATTAAACTACTAATTTACCCAATGTGGAACCATCTTTGACTTCTTGGAATGAACTTGAACATGGTGTATTTTCTCCTCTAATGTGTTACTGGCTTCTGTTTTTGTTAGTAACTTCTCGAAAATGGATATTAATTGAAATTGAAATTGGTCTACAGTCTTCTTTTGTGCATATGTCCTTATTGGAGAAAAAAAAATGGTTTACCTTCATGGGTAGGAACTGAGGGAAGAAAACAGAGAATAGAAGATAAACAGCCCCAGCTAAAAATGGGTAAAGAATGTGATTGCGCAACTCTCAAAAAAAGAATTACCAACGGCTAAAAAATATATGACAACACCTTCATCATCGCTGGTAACGTGAAATTCCAACTACTAACCCCTTCAGACTACCTTCCTTTCACCTGCATCTCTGGTATCCTACAACAAAGGAAAGGGATCTCTCTGCCTATTCTGTTAGTCACAACAGTCCCTTTTGTCTGCACTCTCAGAAGCACTGAAGCATATTCACAGACACACTTCGGTTTTAATTCCCTTAGCAGGCAGAAAGAAAAATTTCAGTGATCTCTCCAAACAGAGCATTTAAAGATAGTAGGTTCCCACTGATACCTGTTCAAGATTGTTTTCTTTCTTTTTAAATTTTTAATTTTAAAATTTTTTTTAAAGATTATTTATTTATTTATTTATTTGACACAGAGAGAGAGAGAGAGAGAGAGAGAGATCACAAGTAGGCGAGAGGCAGGCAGAGAGAGAGGGGGAAGCAGGCTTCCTGCTGAGCAGAGAGCCCAATGCGGGGCTCCATTCCAGGACCCTGAGATCATGATCTGAGCTGAAGGCAGAGGCTTAACCCACTGAGCCACCCAGCCACCCTTTTTAAATTTTTTAAAAGATTTTATTTATTTATCTGAGAGAGAGAGAGAGAGTGTGTGTGTGTGCAGGAGTAGGGGAAGGAGCAGAGGGAGAGGGAGAAGCAGACTCCTGGCTGAGCAGGGAACCCAACATAGGGCTCAATTCCAGGACCCTGGGATCATGACCTGAGCTGAAGGCAGACACTTAACCAACTGAGCCATTGAGGCCTCCCCCCACCCCCATTTTCTAAATGGGACTAAACAAGCTCCTTTAGCAGAGGGGTTCTTGAACTTCATACAGAACTCTTTGGAAATGCCAGATGCATTTTAACACAAGCAAGTCGTTGGAGAAATCTGGGTCTGTTTCTTCATCTAGAAAATGCTTATGCCGGCACTGATAGGCTATAAGAAGGATAAAAGGAAATGATGCATGTTGAAGCTCTTTATGAGCCTAACACAATTTTGTGTTGAAATCATATGTATGAAATCATACTGTATGTCATCAAGTATGAAATCTTACTGTAAGAGTCACAGGCAGAACCGGCAGAACATATGCGAACACTTAGTCTCTCAGATAAAAATTTCATAAAGGACATCGAGCCTTTTCCACAGCAACTAAGCTGACCTGTGCAGGCACCTCTCTACCCCCTCATCTTCATGCTTCCTGAAGCCCTTCCCTTCATTGCTATACCCCCCGCCCTGCCCTGCTGCAGAGGGTCCTGCTGGGGTGGCATTTGCTCCAGGGAGAGAAAGGCAGGTGGCAGAACTGGGACAGACCCACTCCTTGCACGCTTGTCCAGCACCTCCTCACTTTATCTCATTCTGCTCATTGGGGCCGCAAGGTCAGAGCACAGTACAACTTCTTTTGTGTTCAGCTATCAGGACCACTCTTGGGGTAAGATTCAGAATGTGTGGAAGTTGAGACTACTCACGAGACACAGAGGCACAAGACTCCCGGCATAGACTCGCTGTCCCTTATCAGGAAGTTGCCATCTATCCCGTCCTCCAGCAGGAGGGTCTCACAGTCTTTCTTAGACAGAGGGCCATGGTAATAGGGCAGATCCACGGGGAGCCTGCTGGGAGCCCTGTAATCCATCCCCAAGTTCAGGGCCGGCTCCAAGGAGGGAACTGGAGGAAGGGGCCTCAGGGAGCCTGGGGGAGCTGCTCTTCCGCTGGCTGGTAGGAGTGAGATGAGGCAGTTCTGCAGGACTCAGAGAGTTTTGCAAGATTCAGGAAGTAAGAAGGGTGGGGTGATGAAGTGACCACACATGTCAGCCTGTAAATGACCCTAGTGTGATTCACAGAAGTATGCGAGACCAGTTTGAGCCACAGTATCCTCCGCGATGTTGATGGCGGGGGATGAAGGGCTGACGCCGAGCTACCCGGACCTGGGCTGCAGCCCCGTATAGCACCATAAATCCATTTTTTTTAAATTTTTTTTTTATTTGACAGACGGAGATCACAAGTAGGCAGAGAGGCAGGCAGAGAGAGAGAGAGGAGAAAGCAGGCTCCCCGCGGAGCAGAGAGCCCGATGCGGGGCTCGATTCCGTGACCCTGGGATCATGACCTGAGCTGAAGGCAGAGGCTTTAACCCACTGAGCCACCCAGGCGCCCCCATAAATCCATTTTTTACCTCCTCTGGCTGCTGGTGTTCCTTTCAGAGAGCACCCCACTGCTTTTTGCTGTGATGGATGCCCATGGCCTGCTGAAGCTGCCTCTGATTATGCTAAACTTAGAGCAGGTGCTGGAGAAGTGTGCAGATGCTGAATGAGTAATGGAGCAATTGAAAAGGTAGGACTTCCACGGGTCGAATGGTATGAGTGATGGAAGATGTTCTTTTCCCAAAATGGGAATAGAAAGCAATTGAGCACGATGGGGGACGACAGCCTGTCCCTCGCTGAGGCTCCTAGCCATTGATGAACAAAGGCTGCTGCTAACATCTTCCGGCATTATGCTTTTTGGGGAAGGAGCCGGTGCAGGTGGGAGGGATATCTGAGTATGCAAAATTAGTTCAGGGATGCACCTCTTGGTGGAAGGAAAGAGTACAGGAACTTTGGTTTGAATATCCTCAGATCCTTTGAAGTTCCCATTTTGGAGGGCAGCAGTGATGTGTCCCCATGAAGAAAGACCAAGAAGAGTTTATCCAGCCAGAGACACTGAGCCCTCTTTAGACAAGCTGGCATTGATGAAAAATCCTTTTCCTCCGCTTTCTTTTCTTCTATCCTTCCTAACCTCCATCCCTCCTTCCTTCCTTCCTTCCTTTCTTCCTTCCCTCCTTCCTTCCTTCCTGAACCTTTTCTACCAAGATGATGTTCTTGGGAAAGGGGGCTTCTGTTATCTGAGGGTCAGAGTTAGCCTTAAGAGTAATTTCTTTTCTTTTTAAGATTTATTTATTTATTTATTTGAGAGAGGGAGAGAGAGCATGAGCAAGAGGGGCAGAGGGAGAGGGAGAGAGAATCACAAGCCGACTCCGTGCTGAGTGAGGATCCAACATGGGCTCCGTCTCACCACACTGAGATCATGACCTGAGCTGAACCAAGAGTCAGATGCTTAACCAAGTGTGCCACCCAGGTGCCCCATCCCTAAGGGTAATTTCTAAAGACTCTTCCCTCTCAGCTTTATTGAGATATAACTGACAGATCACAATTGTGTAAATTTAGGGTGTGCAATGCATTGACTGGGTATATTTATACATTGCAAGGTGATTATCACCCTACCATTAGCTAACACCTCTGTCTTGTCACCGGTTTACCATTTCTTTTTTGTGATGAGAACATTTAAGATCCACTCTCTTAGCAACTTTCTAGTGTGTCATAAGGTGTTATTAACTATAATCACCATGCTGTACACTAGATTCCCCAGAACTTACTCATCTTACAACTGTAAGTTTGTACCCTTTGATCAACATCTGTTTCCTCCAAGGCCTTTTTTTTTTAATTGACATATAACGTATTATTTGTTTCAGGGGTACAGGTCTGTGATTCATCAGTCTTATACAATTCACAGTGCTCCCCGTAGCACACACCTTCCCCAGTGTCATCACCCAGCCACCCCATCTCCCCAGCCCCTCCCCTCCAGCAACTCTCAGTTTGTTTCCTAAGATTAAGCATCTCTTACAGTTTGTCTCTCTCTGATTTCATCTTGTTTCATTTTTTGCCCTCTTCCCCTATGATCTTCTGTCTTGTTTCTCAAATTCTGCATATCAGTGAGATCATATGATAATTGTCTTTCCCTGAGCGACTTATTTTGCTTAGCATAATACCCGCCAGTTCCATCCATGTCATTCATTGGGGTGCATGTGCCCCTTTGGATCACTACTTTTGTATCTTTGGGGTAGATCCCTCGTTGTGCAATTGCTGGGTCATAGGGTAGCTTCTATTTTCAACTTTTTGAGGAACCTTCATACTGTTTTCCAGAGTGTCTGCACCAGCTTGCATTCCCACCAACAGTGTAGGAGGGTTCCCCTTTCTCTGCATCCTCGCCAGCATCTGCAGTTTCTTGACTTGTTAATTTTAGCCATTCTGACTGGTGTGAGGTGGTGTCTCGCTGTGGTTTTGATTTGTATTTCCCTGATGCAGAGTGATGTTCAGCACTTTTTCATGTGCTCCAAGGCCTTTTTGAGCCATCAAACCATCTACATATTGTTAATTAATTAATTTCAGGCAGAATAAGCCATGTCATCTGTAATCCAGTGTTTTAAACTGGATCACATTTACTTAACTCCCACAATCACTACTGTGCAATGGCAATTGGTTAAACATATGTGTATTTCTCTCTGCATGTAGCTGCATTATTCAAATATCTATAGAGCTTGCTACATATCTCAACTATGTATTTATAAAAATAAGAACTATGTGCTCAAGATTCATCCTTACTTCTCTTAATGCCTTCTTAACCAGAAGATTATTCAATCTTGCTGATTTGCTTAAGCTATCTACCTACTCATAGGAATCTGTCTTACACTGAACTTCCTTATAGCAGATATTTGTTCTTCTTTGGAAATTCCACTGCTCTGCTGTTGGTGTAATGAAGTGACATTCTTCAAGAAACTTGCTATCAGAGAGCTATGCTTTCAAATCCTAATTTATCTCGTGCAGCCTAGGGCCATGTGCTATTGAATTTCCTAGGAATTATGACATGGGAGGAAAGAATTTTTACGGGTAAAAGAGGAAACTGGGTATCAAGCTTGGTGTGAGGATATTTTTCAACCACAGGTTGGAAATAAGTTGGTACATGCTCAAAATCTTTATCATCACTGGGACCATCTTGCCTTTTTTTTTTCTTCTTCAAAATTTAGTCCCCTCAACCTCACTCATCATAAGAAAACGCCAATTAAATCTACACTGAGATAACAACTTGCCTATCATACACTAAGATAACAACTCACCTATCATATCGGTGAAGATCAGGGCTTTGAAAACATACTGGGTTGGTCATGCAGGAGTGAAAAGTAATAATACTATCTTGTACATTGTTAGTTGGCTTACAAAATGGTTGCACATCCAATGGAGGAGAATCTGACCAAACCAAGGAAAGGTACATAGTTGCCCCCTGTCCCCCGCCCTGAGAGAATCATCTCACTTCCATTTTGTTACACCCAATGAAATAAATAATTCAGGCACAAGTAGGCAATGGGTGAAAATTTTAGGCAAATGTTTGATAATGACCTTTTCAAGGAAGAAAGCAAGCTGTTACCACTCGAGCCCACTGATCAGTCAGCATAACTAAAAATGGGACAACTAGACATTGAATGACCATGAACTTGAAGCAGCAGGAAACACGCAGCCTCACTATGAAGTGTACTTTCAAAACATGTTGAACTTGAAATAAATCAAGCCTTTTAAAAAATAAATTCTATTTATGAGATCATAATGAGGAAGCAGACAGACAAAAGCCAGTATGTGGTACATTTGGTAAGAAAAACTAACATGGTTCCTTCATAGGTCAACATCATAAAAATGGAGTCAGAGAATGAGGAAGGGGGAGACTGCTCTATTTGAAAAGAGATTCATGAGGCATAAAACCAATGTAACATGAGGATCTTGTTTAGATCCTGGTTGGAAAAACCAAACACAAAAAAGTTTCCTGCCGTTGGGGAAATTTAAATATTGATGGGATAGCAGATGACACTAAGGAAATACTGTTGATTTTGTTAGGCGTCGTAATAGTATTTATTGTGCTTATATGCGTAGATATCCATAGCTGGGTGATGGTGAGATTCATTATAGTAATGGCTCTGTTTTCACATGTGTTGAAAAATTTTTATGATAAAAAGTCTTCCATTCTTGGGGCACCTGGGGGCTCAGTGGGTTAAGCCTCTGCCTTTGGCTCAGGTCATGATCTCAGGGTCCGGAGATCAAGCCCTGCATCGGGCTCTCTGCTCAACAGGGAGCCTGCTTCCCCCCACCCTCTGCCCCTCTCCCTGCCTACTTGTGATCTCCCTCTCTGTCAAATAAATAAAATTTTTTTAAAAAGTCTTCCATTCTCATGTTATTTTGATCCATGTCACCTCTGGGAATAGCTGTACAATGCACAGCAACATCTTTAGTTTCTTACATGGATTCCCCTTTCTTTCATCCATGGCAATCAAAGCCTAGAGTCATGTTTATAGAATGTGACTCTGTGCCTCCTTAGCCATAGTTGATTGGATCAAGGGTAGGCTGCTGACCCAAGATGGACTAGTCAGAGATCCAAACCAAGGAATTTGGAGGAAATGAAGAAAAGAAGGGAGAGAGAGGCATGGGGGATGGAGAGTAGCAATAAGAATGCAAATGAGTTCTCTAGGAATGGTTATATAATGGGCACATTTTTTTGCCGTGGACTCAGCAGACAGGATAAGAGAGAGAGAACTGGTCCACAAAATGAAGAATGAAGTAGACTCATGGAAAGGAGCAGAGTCAAGAGATAGTCCTACTAGATCAACTTACTGAGTAGAAAAAAATTTGCAAATCATGATCTAATAAGGGGCTAATACCTGAATATATAAAGAACTCATACAACTCAATAGCAAAAAACTAACTAGTCTGATTTCAAAATGGGGAAGGGACCTGAATAAATATTCTTCCAAAGAATATACACAAATGGCCAACAAGTACA